AAGTAGACTACTGATGAACAGCTGTGCAGAAAGACTGATATAATAATCTTAGTGACTACTAATAATGATTAGTGATTAATACAGTCCTCTTAGCCACCTTCAGAGGGAGCTTGAAGTGAGAGCAACAGGAAAAGTTTAGAGGATAGATACAATGTTTACTTGGGACAGGAGAAGACTGTCTAGAGTGTCAATGGAATTTTTCAAACGAAGATAATGCAAGTTGCATGTCTGTGTATTACTTAGCATGAGAAGCTCTGGATTTCTGATGAAAGCTTTTACATGTTAATGTGCTACAAGTAAGGTGGCATAAAAATGTTTTTTTCAGTGCTCACCCAGATACCATGCCATAAAGAAATATCTTCATGAGCTCTGTCTCAGAAAGAGATCCAGACTGGATCACTAGTAACCCAAAAGGATTCAAACTGACAAGGATACCCTTCTGCCATGCTGTGATCAAAGCTCCAGCGTGGATTTTTGCCCATGTCAGATACTGGTAAAACCTCACACTACTAACTTGTTTTTCTCTCGGGCATTTGGTGCGTATTACATTCCTTAGCAGCTGTATGTTTTCATAGCTGTCATGCAACAAGATTTCTCCCAAATTAGATACCAGAAAAAGTTTAACCTTGATAACAGGTTAGTACACTGATTCTCAGGAAAGAAGGAACTAAAGTCATTCCAGGCACTAGACACAACCTTTGAAAGGCCTCATACAGATGACACCATCAGAGCCAACAACGATTCCTATTTCCCAATCATAACCCAAGCTAAATAGGGCTAACTTTGCATTTTTGGGGTTTAAAGTCATAAACTGAATCCTTATTCTGTCTGAGATTGGTTATTGCTATGTTGTCAAAGTGTTTTATAAAATCATTCCAAATCATAGTAAAAATGTTTCTAAAGTCAGAACTGAAATTCTTTTTTTTCTCAACATCCAATTCAGGAGCTTGGAGCTTCAAACAGACAATATGATTTTGATTTCATTTCCATTATAATGTCTACTCATGATTTAAGACACAAGCAATAAGACTACATACAACACAGAGCAATAATTTAATAGAACACTGCAAACATAGTATCCTTTCAGTCTTCTGTTTTAGTAGAAAATAATTTTTAAAAGATACTGGTCAGATCTAGCTAATACACTCAACATCTTGCAACATGCTGGAAAGGACATATGGATGAAGGCAAAGTTTGTTTCTGCAGGCAAAAGTCTTGCATCAACCTGAAACACTACAAGTACTGCACACAGAAGGTACCTGAGCTCACAGGTCAGGGGAGGTGCTAAAGAGTGAAGATGGCAGCATTAAAGACAGATACATCTGGATTCACACATAATTTTAAGGATCAAGTGTAAACGGCACTTTTATGGGTAAAAAGCAAAGAAGAGGGCAGCTGTGGGATAAAGTTCCAGGGAGGAAACGTGAGACAAAGATAGCAACAACATAATGTAACATTTACAGAAAAAAATACTTTAAAAACATTCTAATAACTTAGGATTTAGAAGAAACTTCTTGGTGCAAATATAGAAATACAAAGGCAACTTGCAAGGGCTACCTACAAATTAGATACCAAGATAAGAACTGATGAAAAAAACTGGATAATCTATCTCCTTAGAGAAAAAGAAAGAACCCAACGCAACAGTATAAAAATCAGAACTACAATAAATGTTGTTAAGGAAAAAAACGGAACCAAGCTGCTAAGCAAGGACCCAGTGAGGCCATTAAAGAACAAGAGTGGAAATTCAGTGACAGATGATGCTGATATATTGCTGACACCCTGAATGAATTTTTTGTCTTGCAATCCACAAGAGAAGCTGAAGGTCACAGAAGAAAGCGTGGAATAAATTTTCCAGTAGGAAAGTGAAATATTAATGCCTTAAAGATCACTTCAAGGTTAACAATTAGGAACTCAGCATAATTAAAACCTGACAAAGTCGTAGGTACAAATGAGTGATACCCCACACAAAGCAACTCAGTATTCAAGAAAAAAAGAAAAGCTGACAGTTCTGAATAGGAGAGGATTACAGTCACGTTAATAACATTTAAAGACTTCTTTCTCTCAAATTAAAAATAGGCATGGCTGTAATCCTGAAGCAATCTTCTGGTGTGAAGACAAGAACTGGATACTAACTAATGCTGTATAAGAGATCAAAGAGACTGATAAAACACTGATTTATATAGAAAATTAAAAGAGAAAAATTTTAAAGAGAAAAATGAAAAGAGAAAAATTTAGAAGAGAAATAATAATCATCATCATCATCTAAAGACCTCCCTTGGTCCTTGCTCTACTTCCATAAAACCCACTGAAGGTAACTGAGCAGTCAGCCAGCTGTCAGTAGGCGTACTGCCACTTGATCCTCCCCTGGGCAGTCACAGATCGAAACACTTCTGCACACACAAAGTAAAAAGTCACTGAGGCTACCAGAAAGAGAAATGAGTAGGGATTCCAGTACACACAAGAAACGTGTTAAAAGAGGAAGGGTGCTTGGAGCACCAAACCAAGGCATTAGTAAAATCAGCATAAACAGGGGTAGCACAACATCACTCAGCTTGAGATGTACTTAAATTCTTCACTGATTTTGCTTTTGTGCAACTTCAAGTTAGGGGAAAAAAGGCATTTTATATTAACAATATTCTAAAGTGGGGTAGGGGAGGAAGAAAACAAAAAAGAAAAGCGGCAAAGAGATTCTCTGCTTTGAGAATTCAATATTTGGCTTGATATAGGAGTGGGGCTTGTAACAGTTTGACATCAGACCACTGAGAGTCATTTGATGTATATAAGGCAAGGGAAAAAGAAGTGATCAATGCTTAGCAGCTTGTAAGCACAAAGGCTACATATATGGATTAAAAAGTGAGGGAAAGAATTAATTTGGAATAAACATTTACTTACAAAAAGCTTTCAGCAAATTGAGATGGTCTAACAAGGAAGACGACAGGTTTTAAGATGAATCAGATATTGATCAGATTTAATACTTGGAGGAGGAAGAATCACTATTTTTTAAAAAATGATGTATTATTTAAGTTTAATATTTAAATACTGAAACGTAGTTTCTCCTTGGCAGCTGCTACTTCAACAGTCACTTTTCCTAGGGTTTTAGTAGAAGGGCTCAGAAGATGCATTTTTAAGGCAAGAACAGGTTTCAGTAATATCGACAGACAGCATAGACAAACACCAATGGCTAATACTGTATTCAACCCTTCAACAGGTCATATGTATAGCACAGTGTACATATTGGCAGTGACTCTACTGTTAAACTTGTTTTTAAATTTGCACATAAAGAGGACTAAAATGTCTCTTTAATGACTGGATTTAGTTTCCACATTTCGATCTGTTATTCTTCAAAAAACCCAAAACCTCTTACATGGCTTCTAATCAAAATACCTGTTATGTATTGCAAAGAAACATCTCAAAATGGTTTGCCTTGAAATTCTGCCTGACTGAATTCAGATGCCAGGTTTAGGAATTATCCAAATACTGCACCCACAGACTACTGATTTCCCACTTCTTTGGAACTCTCATGAATTCAACATCCACAACACTACAAGAAATACTGAACTCAAAATCTACTTCTAGCTCTCAGAATAATCAGTTTTGGTTCATTCAAATAAAAGGAGGTAAACTCTTCAGGAATTAAAGACTTCTCATGCACTTTCCTTCCCTCATCTATCAACCTCATTGAGTGCTGAGATCTCAGTGAACCAGTGAACAGAGTGCAAAAGAGATGAGCAGAGAGGTACGATGAAACAGAAGGAACAAGTGGAGGCTCGAAAACACTTTGAGGAGAAATGTAAAATGTCAGCAACAAAGTGAGCAGACAACTGTGAGGAAGAATACTAAGCAAAAGGCTTGACAGACACCTCAAATTAAATATTATTTCCTTTTACTCATTGATTTTGTGTATCATATAATTCTGAATTTCTAAAGTGCTTTAGTAATACTGTACATTGAAAATATTTTTAGCAAAAACTGCAGTATCAAACTTCAAGAAAAATATACATAAAGTTACTTCTACCAGTCTCTTATAAGGTTCATCTCATTTTAAGAGGAACTGCATTGCCTACCACAAATTATGTCACTTAGTTATCAATCCACCATTTCTCTGGAAAGAGAATTTGTGCAAAAGCCTGAAATTAACAATTGATCTCATAACATGCTTTTTTTGATATTGACCTATTATTTTCTGGTCTTGCGCAATTTCCCTGGTAACAACAAAATTAACTACAGATTGCAACCAGCTACAACTCAATTGATTCTTTCTTTATTTATCTCAAATGTGGGTGGCCATGCTGACCTCTGTCTCACATAAGCAACTGCTGTAAGGAATGTCTCCAACATTCTTCTTGGAGGTGCAGATCACTTGTGTTGCACCCCTCATTAGAAAGGCAGTGTGAACTCTGTCAGAGTAGAAGTCCCATTTCCCCAGAGCACGTGATTTTAGGACCTTGCAAGTCTTTCTAACTTCAGTCACAGGACACCACTGCAAAGACTAACGACAGTGGTTCAAGTCTGGGTATGGTCTTACAGCATTAAGGTTGCAGAGCACATAAGAGTTCTGCACAAGCAATGTCCTTTCATGTTCTTCTGTATCTGGATGAACACTGCGCCAAGGATCTCCTGATTCTTTTAGATGAGAATGGGACTAAGTGCCCATGCACAATGTAGGTATATTATTTTAAAAATCCTGAAAACACCTGCTAGAAAAAAGCCAAATTTTCACACAAAATATATGTGCATTTGTTCACTCATATTTGGTATACACACAAAAACGTATGAATTTTTGTATGCATAAACATATATGTGTATATCTTTATAAATATATATGTGTGTGAGCATATAAATACACATACACACCACACATAGTAAAAAATAGTTTAGAAAAAATTCTATACCTGTTTTGCAGTGTCATTCAAAATTCATCCCTTCCAAAATAATACTAATTTCACAATAAATATAGGAAAATTAAATATAATTGGTTTAGAGAAGATAAGAGCTCTTACCTGCTTTACCACTGTCACCGTCCCAGGTGCCATGGTAACTACAGAAGCAACTGCAGTGGCATCATGGGTTTCCGAACCCAACTCAATGATTTGCTGCAGGATGTTTACTGCTGTTGGATCAAGTCTTTCACCTTATCAGAAAGACAGTAACCATAAGATCATTACAGTCAAACAGCTCTAAGGGTATGTGAATCCAAGTGCTACTCTTACCCCTCCTGCCTTAACCCTGACTCACAGCGCTGTTTATAAATTTCAAATAGCTCATAACATGACACTTTAATAACAGATCTATGGCAGGAAAGATCACAAAACAAATTTGCCCAAGGAATGCATGAACTGGCAAATAAAGCCACACTGATCATTTTTATGTCTATTTGAAAGAGATCTGAAAGAATACATGAATGAACAAACAATAGGTGCAACTCATAGCAGTAACTGTGAATTATGAAGCTGCAAGACCTTACAAATCCAAATGTGTATTTCCCAGACATTCAGCTTAAACAGAACCTGAACTCTATACCTATAACCACAACAGCTATTTGGAATATTACAAACCTGTGTTTACCATCTGTCCCACCATCTGCAACACCCTTCAACCCAAAAGAAGTACTATTATTGCTAACGTGCTGAAGGGAAAAGCTAATTGCTTGAGAGAGCTCATGCTTATCATTTTATAAGCATGGGATCAGAACATGTTTGCCCTATTTTTGAAAATCCTCTTAATGTGTGTAGACTTGCCAAAGGAAAGGCAAGTTTACGCCTCCCCCCCCCGCCGCCCCCCATACATTGTTGTGCTCTCAGTTCTCCCAAAGTGGGGAAAAAAAAGATTTGGATGCTGGAAAATGTTTTTTGCTATGCAGGAATTATTAATTTCCCTCCTGTGGCCCACCATTCCCACATGCCCAGTGTCAGCACAAAAGATACGCCAGAAAGGGAACGAAACTGTCAGGGTCATGTTAAAGGGGCCTTACATTTGCTGTAATAACTGTTGGATCTAGGAGACAGACAGTAACTAGAATAAAATTCATTTCTTAACCCCAATCCCTTTCAAACTGAAGTTGATACTGTGATGGGAATCTAGGGCAGATGATTTAATTTCAAACAGAAAGTAGTTATATTTTGTTATCTACATAAGAAACAAGTTTATCTGAGTATTGAAAAATGCTTGCTTTAGGTTTTTTCTGTGTAACTGCCTTTAGATAAGATACTACCATTTTTCATACTACGAAGGAATATGCTGGAACAGTATCTGAAGCTGGATGCACTAAAAAAGCAAATCATTTTACTCTGAAAACTATAGCCTCTTCCTTAAAATCAAAACTGTTATGTACAGCATACTCCATGATCATGTTTATTTTAATTTAAATTTATAAAAGCTTAAGAAAAGTTCTTAAGAGGTTCTTATTCATTCAGAATTGTCAGTCATTAAATTAAAATAGTATACATAAATTGTCAGCAATGTAATTTAATTGCAACATGCTTGGTAATTCCATTAAAATTGAGAGTTTTTGAAAGGTATCTATATTATGAACTATAAAGACCACAATGGTAAACAATTGTAAAAAGCTATCTTCTGACAAGCAATGCATTTTATATATACATAAAACCAAAACATATGAGCACCTATTCAAGTCTCTGATTTTTTAACACTTGGACATTTTTTCTTTTCTTTTCTTTTCTTCCAGTTTTTGTAACCAGTCATTACACCATCCCATTGCTGTTGTTCCTCAGTCTGATATAGAATAGCTTACTTTGCTTTGTGTATCATCAGAATTAACTTTGTTAGTACTGTCTTGGGAACATGGTAAATGAGCTATTCCACTGTGTCATTTCTACAGGCTGGCTAACTTAAGCAGGGAGAAAAGTAATAGCTAGAGAATTGCCATTAGATACACACCATCTACGCTGCCAAGATAGCTGATTTCACAATATATTTAATAATACAGGCAGGAAACTCCACATCCCTAATAATAAAGTGCAAAACAGAGTATGATAAGTATTAATGGCTTAAAGATACAGAAATTCATAAAGAATGGTCATTTCTCATAATTTATCCTCAAATAAAAATATAAACCCCAGAGCTAAATTCTGGATTACAAATTTCATCATTTTTAATAGTTTCACAGGAGATCACATTTTGCCCAGTGTACTCAAAAGAACTAGATATTTATGAAAAAAATATATATTTCGTGTTCCAACCTAAAAAAGGTAACTTACCATTCTCAGAAGTATATCTAAGGTTCTGTAATGCAGCTACTGCAGCTTGAGTGCCTTGAACATCTTCTCCAGACTCTGTGATATGGAGATACTGAGTCGATGCTTCTTCAGAAACTTCAGCAGTTAACTTGAAAACAAAACCCAGCCAACACATGAAAAACCTCACTCTCATTTTAACAATTTAGAGAACAATGAAAGTTCTGAGTTTAAAGGAATGAGTTTTGGACAACAAATGTTGTAAAAGGAGTTATAGAAATACTGGGTGAAACAGAACTTAAAAATAACATTAACGGGAGTCAGGATATCATCCCATAGTTTCCTTCTAGATTCCAGTTCAAAAGTTGTTTTAAGCATGCTGAATTATCATAACTTCATTTTTGTTGCACAGTTACTTTAGCCCTAACAACAGACTTCTATGGTATCAGGGTCTAGTAAAGAACTTTTGGGCAAAATTGGTTTGTAAAGTTGTCCTTGCAGATCTGGTAAAATGCCTCTGAAGTCTGAAAAGAGCATTTTGTTTGAGAAAAATTATCCTTTCCATGACTATGTTTTTTTTTTCAAGACAAGCTGTCAACATATATTCCTGCTCTGATGGGTCCTCTTCATTTATAGCTATTTCAACAGTAGAGACATGCTTGCATCCTGGATGTCCTCTTATTTTTTCAGGTTTGGGCATCTACTGGGAGAGTCTACAGAGAACCGTTTGTGAAAAGACTTTGAAGGACTATATTTAAAATGCTTAACCTATCTTCTCTGAATAATTGTCCATATAGAACCTACTCTGGTATTTTTCAAGGACTTAACATCCTATCTGTGGATACTCAGAAACTGTTGAACAAGAACTGCAGGATGGCTCTTCCAAATCAGGCATTAGTTGTATAACAGGCGCTAGATTGCCTGAAATTTGGAAGAACAGGTCTTAAACTGTAGAGGTCAGCCAACTGCAGCTGACTTTTGGCTTCTTCCTCTCATTTGACACCAGCAACAGCCTCTTCAGTCAGTGGAAAGGACTCAGCTTGCCAATTGTAATTTTTTAAATAAAAGTGTCTAGATAGTTCTGTAGTTTTCCCATAACTTCTGCATCTTTAGTCAGCTCTGCTCTGGAAGAGTAACAGTTTTCATTTTAGAAGAAATTGCTATGCATAAGACAGGAGAGGAAAGCCTGAAAGAATAAGGCCTCTCAAGATAGCTGCCATACCCTACACCAAACTGAGAAAAATCAGGTTGTTGGTTTGCTTTTTTTCTAATCTAGCCTCTTAGGTATAACCTAAATTTTTTAAGGTCTGATCTTAGTGATTGCGTGATTCCTATATACATTGGACTGAAGCTGAAAACACAGAACAAATGACAGAAGACTTACTCTGTGTAACAGTAGTATTTTCTTTAACTGATCAATTCCCTAATTCAATTTTCTTGATTCTAACCTTTTCTGGACCAAGACATAAGCTTTTTTCATTAATTCAATATAATCTTGCAGCTTTGCAGATCTTGCAGTTAACACCAGCAAATACTTGGCATGTAACAAAATGCAGTAAGCTTTTCAATTTAACTTTTTTTTGTTGAAACTTTCACCCTTTCTGCTGTAAATAGAGGACTAGAGCCTTAAAATGCAGAAATAAGCACTTGCAATGTTGTAAATCCTACCAGATATTAAAGCAGTCAAGCTTAACAGTCATAGCAGTGTATCCATTCAAAATGGAGATGAGAGATCACATCCTTACTTTTCTCTCCAGAATTTTTTAAATTCTTAGGGCCAAAGCCATGGCAACTTTGCTTTACCTCCCATTTGCTCTCCCCATCCTGTTCCACTAGCTTCATTCCATGCTTGTTCTTAAGATGTCTGTTGAACTCCCACTTCGTACCATACACAAAGCTGCAAACAGGACACTTAATGCCACCTACAAGGAAACAAAAATAAATTCCCTGAGTTATTTCACTATAAATTCTTTTTCAAGGCAGTAAGGACCCATTTAATTTGATCCCATCTCAGTCAAGCCATATAACTGTAATTCAAAAATGTTTCCTTTAGCCATGTGTCTAACACGAAGGGAAAAAAAAAAAAAAAGAGTGGGGTGGGAGGAAGTAGTTGAACTGTCAAAATGCTTAAAGGGCAGTTTTGGATGATGGTAATGGAAGCAATCTGGAACAACTCGTACATCTCGGAAGGTGTAGCACAATTAGGTCCACGTAAGAAGTATTGCTTTCACCTCTCAGGAGCTAGATGTTAAGAGAGATTGTCAGGATATAACAGAGAACATAAAATGTGAAGTAAATAACAACCTACTTACCAGGTGAGAACTTCTGCTTGCTAACAAAAGCCATTCTAGAAGTGGCATGTACATTAGAGAAGGAAAAGATTTTCCAAGCAATGACAGCATATTAATTTTGACCAACCCCACTCTGGTTTTGTTTGGCCACAAGATAATACTACAAACCTAGGGGATGCTTCAGCCTGTGCAGAATCATTCCCACAGTCATAATTCTGGTTGACATTCAAGTTTGGTAGCACCAATGGAGACTAGTCTTAGTTTCCAAGTGAAAATTCTTTCAAGTCTGGGGGTATCTATGACTTATGTTCTGCTTTAGGTCAACCATAAACAAAACCTGGCACATGTCTTAAATAATTCTGAACTAATCCTTTTGCCCTATGAATATTCTTTTGTTTCAAATCATAGAGTTCCTTAGAGACTATTTTAATGCCTAGTTCATTTCATGTCATTGCAGCTTCAAATGTAAATTGTATGTATGGTCCAAAAACCTAGAAGACTGGGGTCTCTGACACACTTCAGCTTTAAATATTGGTTCTTACAAAGATGTGGTGTGTTGGCCTTCAGGACACAATACAAAACCACAGTGCAATGGACTCTCAGTAAGTGCTGGGGTATTTTTTAAGTGCTTATAAAGAACAAGATCTTAATATTTAACAGACACAGTAGTGGCATACTTCAATAATTTTTTAAAAAAAATGTATCTTCCCTAAGGCAGCTGTTCTAGTTTTCTTAAGTTTCAAGCAAACATTAAGTGTTTTGGCACATTATCAAAGCAAACCAGGGAGAGTTAACGATGTAATGCCATCTTCACCCAACTGTCTTTGCTTTTGAGAGTTTATGTTATCATACAAAACTGTAAACCTAAGTTTTCTGCCTATCTACCAAATGATTCATAGCATGAATTTACCACAATGTTTACTGTCTGAGTATGCAGCATTACAGGTAAAAAACGGAGCATGACGAAATCATAAGCCTCCAATTTTCTACACTACATTAAACAGCTTTTACTTCTTTTTCTTATGAAAGTCATTTGGTCAAATGTCAGATCTCAGTTGCTTGTAATCATGCAAATAAGTATTTTTCTTTCCCCCCCTATTGACTAAAGCAGAACAAAAATAATCTGCAAGTGGTAAATGGTTGCATTAGGTGACCAGAACTCACTCTAACAGATCTAATGGCTAGGGAAGGGCATTATGCCGCTTTAGGAACTATGCCACCAGATGGCTGTCTCTACATTATCATGGCAAATGATGACTCTTAGCTATTGTGTTCAAATGCTTCAAATACACTCTCACACTGGTTACAAGCCAAGTCCTCCTTGCACATAGTCTTTTATGAATAAGGAGATTAGAATAAGTGTTCTGTTTTACAGTAATGGAAACCTACCATATGGTATTCTACTAGGCAAAAATAAATAAACTTTTAATTCTGTTGTAACATAATATAACTACACCCAGTCGCTAGGTCTTTCACTGACACTTATTATTCCTATATGATTTCTCCTCTTTCTTCTCAATCTGTTGCACGTCTTCACCAAATTTCACTATTATAGCAGATGTTCAATACTCCACCTCCAGACAAAACTGAAATAGTTTCCCTATTAAGGGAAACTCAAAAGTTCACAAAAGCAAAATACCTTTTTCAGATTAGGACAAAGATATTATCAGTTACAGAAAATGAAACTGAATATTAATTTCACACCAATCTGCAGTACTACGAAAAACCTGCTGTTGTGAAAAGAGATCACTTTTCCACATTATGTAGATATTGAAACTACTATAACAATACACCAGATAAATTAAAGCTGTAACTTTTGTCGTTATGACTTCAATTAAAGAACAAATAATGGAAGCATAGAATTAAACTTGTAATATGTATCTCCACATCAGTGACTTGATTTGAAAGCTCAGGAAAATTAATTTCTAGATGATTCTTTAAATGGGTAACATAGAAAGTCAAGGAATTACACACCTTATCTACTTTCAACACCAAACCTGATGTTTGCAACAAAATAATGCACACAAATATTATACAGCTCCATCAGGGCATTGACACGTGCTCTCCAGACAATTTATTTATTGACCTAAAATCTCCATAAGACAACTATTATTTTATGTTAGAAGAAAGCATGTGGTATAATAGAACACAGAGGCTGGATCATTACGTATGTACTGCACAAGTTTGCTGCGCCAGCACAAACAGAAAATCCATCTCCCAGAGAGTGCAGAAACAGGTAAACAAAACAATGGATGGTAGGGAATATCATTGAAGAGAAAAGAAAAAATTTCTGGAAAAATTTTATGTGACTTGCCCAGCACAAAGCAAAAGGAAATAAAAAAGGAAGCTCTCAAATGGGCAAGTAGGCAGGATCTTGCGAAAAAAAATAGTGGGTGATGCATATATAATACTCTTGTCCCCTATGCAGAATACATCAAATTCTTATAGTATTTATTTCCCTTTATGACTTTAAAATACTAAAATAAACGTCAGATCATAAATTTCTATTTAAACAAAAAACCCCAGACAAACAGACCAATCAACCAACCAAAAATACCCCCAAGCTTTTTTCTGATCCTGGCTGATCTGATTTCTAATATAAGCCCCAAAATTAAATACTACTGTCTATCCCTGGCAATGCAGTTGCTCAAATGAGCACGTTCTCTCTTCTATTTTATGAATTATTCATTTATTTATAAACTAATTCTAGGAATACTGAGTAGAGCCCAGCAGTCTACACTCATAATAAGTATCTCCAATTAAGATTATTTGCAATGACTGCAACACAATCAAAAACCAGTTGAGAGTAGAGAGGAAAAGATGGGCAAGTGTGAGGCAATTCACCCTGGGCTCCATAGGTAACTCAGAACAAGCAGAATACGAAAAGACAAAGAGATATAGACAGCTTTTATTGGACTTTAATCTTTGTTAGTCTCCCTTCTCACTTTTTTTCCAAACCCTTTCACTTGCTGCTTCTCCTGCCCTTTCCTCTTTGTCTATAGTCCTTTAATTTCAAAGGACTTGTTTAATATCAGATCTGAAGGGTCATCTTCTCTTATATGAATACATGAATAATTTTCCAAAATTGCTTTTCAGATCTAGGACTATGGTAAATTGAAACTGGATAGAGGCAAGCCAGGCAGCAAGTTGCAACTGCTGGCCCAAGCAGCTCAGAAACACATACCTTGTCATACTGGCTAATACCTCCACAATGATCTGTTCGTGCTGTGTGACCCAGATACAGAAGATCAACTGATTCCAAAATCAGGAATTTTTTTTTTTTTAACTTCAATAGGATTCATGTTTATCAACTCCAAATGCAAATCCTAATTAACTCAAGTCTTCCACAAGGAACATTTCTCTTTTCCCCAGTGAAATACCAAAACACTGAGAAAAACTGACGTTTCTACAGTGTGATGAGAAATTTGCAGTTCTGTTTTTATTTTGAGCCCACATATAAGATCCACATGATGCACCATATAGCAGGAAATGGAGCTGGCAAAGGAGGCTGCATGTGGGAAAAGTGCACCTACTAACATGGCTTTCTTCATGGCAGAGTCCTGATAGCAGGCACAGACTTCATAGCTACTCCATGGATTTGAAGCCCCTTTACTGCTCTAAAACTCCACACAGCAGGTGAACATGTGGAAAGCAGGCACAGAACTACGAGTAGCACAGGAAATACAAATGCTGCGTAAGGAAGGGAAGAGAAAGAAGGAGGCAAAGTCAGAGATGGAAAGAACCGAATAGACTATTTCAGTTGGAAGGGACCTACAATGATCATCTAGTCCAACTGCCTGACCACTTCAGGGCTGAGCAAATGTTAAAGCATATTGTGAGGGCATTGTCCAAATGCCTCTTACACTGACAGGTTTGGGGCATCAACCACCTCTCTAGGAAGCCTGTTCCAGGGTTTGACCACCTTCTCGGTAAAGAAATGCTTCCTAATGTCCACTCTAAACCTCCCCTGGTGCAGCTTTGATCCATTCCCACATGTCCAATCACTGGATACCAGGGAGAAGAGCTCAGCAGCTCCCTCTCCACTTCCCCTCCTCAGGAAGCTGCACAGAGCAATGAAATTGCCCCTCAGCCTCTTTTTCTCCAAACTAGACAAGCCCAAAGTCCTCAGCTGCTCCTCACAGGACACTCCGTCCAGCCCTTTCACCAGCTGTGTTGCCCCCTGGTGACCAGCTGGCGATGCTGCGTCCGATGCACCCCAAGATGCAGGTTGCCCTCTTTGCTTCCAGGGCACGCTGCTGACTCCCATTGAGCTTGCTGTCAACCAGCACCCCCAGATCTCTTTCTGCAGGGCTGCTCTCCAGCCATTCCTCTCCCAATTTATACTTATGCCTGGCATTATTCCATCCTAGGTGCAGGATCCAGCATTTGGACTTGTTAAATTTCATCTCATTGACAATGCATGTCCACCACACTAAAAATTAAAGGCTGTTCTCTGTCATCTCACTCTAATGTCTTCTTTATAGGATTACTCTTGTATTCTCAACAACTTTACAGGTTTTTTGTTTCAGTGGAAAGGAATTATTTTCAGAAGTGCATTTATTTGGCTCCAAAAGGGAAAGGAAAACCTAAACAGCGTATGATTAGTTTTATTTTTCAAAACATTATAAATGTGATCCTTAATTTCATATCAACACAATTCAATCTCACGTACCTATTCTTAAGAGCAGCTATGGACAAATAGTTCCTCACAGTGTGCAGATATTTGAAAAGTTAAACAAAGCTCCCCACAGAGCACAGTTCTTCCTTCACCAGCACAACTACAGAAGAGAGGCTTTGAGTGCTGGCCAAGTAAATATTACCGCTTTAAAATAACTGCAGCTTCTCTGACAACTTTCACTGTCTATGAAAGTAATAATACAATTCTACTATACCTTCCTGCCCTGAAATTTATAGACAAAGATCTACTTTTAAAATTATATCTGGGTTTTTTTTGACAAAAAGGAAACAAAGAAATGTCATATAAAAATAACACAGGCTCAAACTCCTTAATGTAGTTATACATTTCTCCATTCCAGTGCAAGTTTAAAGGGAGAGTCTCAGCCTTTAATTTGACTGTCTTTCTCTGCGTCATGATTTCAGTCGTATTTTAACATGGATTAATGACTTCAGTAAATGAATGTTCTGTGATAGATGAAAAATTTGGAAATAAAGAAATAATGTCATCATAGATGCATTATATTTGACTCATTATCTAATACAACAGCATTATTTTGGTCTCTATTCTTCTTCTTCAATAAAACCTGAAGATCCTAAAAGATCCTATAAAAAGTCTGCTAGTTTCTATTAAAAAAAGCAATAGGGAAAACACTTTCTAAAATTATCATAAAGTAAGAAACTCAACTCTACCAAGCATTAAAATATTTTCAACACAATTTAATATCTAATTTGGCTTTCTCCTCTTCTTCCCCACTCCCACACACATCAGGCACTGGAACTGAAGGAAATTTATGATAGAAATTTATCATTCATTTTACCAGAGAGTTATACTTTACCTACAAAAGGAGACAAACAAGTGAAAATGATAATGTATGCAACGATGAATAGAACGAGCAAGGTCAATCAAAACTTTGGTTCACCGACCCTGAGAAACCAAGAACAAAGGACACTGAATGAAAGGTAAAAGGTGGCCGTTTCAGAATTACTAAAAAGTAGTAATTATTTATCACATAACACTCAATGAACTGAGGAACACACGTTGCACAAAAGTTTACCTTCACACCAAGTTTGCTTCAGCAAAAAACATAACAAGTCTTAAATGGTGAAGATCTACCTTGTTGGATAAGAGCTTCTGCTGCAGGCTCACCAGAACCTACATTTACATACTCTTCATTAGGATGCTTTCTGTTGTAATGCCTCTTCAGGGAACCAGATATGTTGCAGGAATAGTGGCAATGTGCACAACGAAAAGGCTAGGAGCAAAAAGGAAAATGTTAGAACATATTTCCTGAGCTCTTCAGGATACAGGTCTAAACTGCAATGTTTTGATCCCCAGAAACCATGTTCATTTCTGGTTTAGGCATCTTCCAAGCAGATCTTTCAAAATTCAATATAAATGGAAGTTGTAACTACACATTACCTAAAATTTGGTACTTTTTATTATGTGCAAGACACCAAGTATTCTCAACATTATAAGACTATTACCTACTTTTCATAATTAGGTAAACTGTGTTTTCATAATTGACGATCACAAGTCTGACCACGTGGAGACTTTCTACTACAAGGAAATTACTCAGCTGCCATGACATTTGGTGTGAAAAGAGGGAGTAAGAGCACTAAAACAACTGAAGGTACAATGTGATTGTATCGCCAACCTAATTTAACAGATAAACACACCTGATAGGGTTGATGTCTTCCCTTCCCTTTCCTTCTCTCTCCAATGTGCTCCCAACTGCTTCCCTTTCACTGGCACTTGCATTCATATGATCATTTGGTGAGCTAAGTTCTGGGAGTTAAATTAATTACTTTTTAAGAACATATGTCTCCCTTCACCTGATGGGGAGAGGCATTTCTAAATGTTTAGGAAAACAAGCATTTGTGCCTGAAGTCAGCCTTGGAGAATGACTGCGATCTGTCACAGTTATAGGAAGCTTGACACAACCGTAAGGGTCCTGGAAAAGAATGCAGATATTGACCAAAGTTCTTGCGGAAAAGTCAAGTACCTCAGAATGGGAAGCATGATTTTTCATGCACAGCAACCAGGCCAACCTAAAGCTAGTCATCAGAAAATGGTGGGTACAGAAATGTTTATTAAGAAGCTGAATTTAACACAGCAAAATGTTTGCAGTCAAGGTCCATTGACCAGAACATTCCCTTCAGCTTGTTGCTCATGACCTTCTTTCAGGCTCCAAACAGCAAAACTAAGGAAGAAAAGTGGTGTTCAGATTCCCTTAACCTTACAATTCAAGAGGGTACTGTAACACCCAGCTATTCAATTTTTCAGAGAGGTGTACTCTCCTTTTCTGTTGCTGAAACTCTCTTTTTTTTTTTTTTTTCCCAATAAAATAATCCAGACAAGACTGCTGTGTTCTATGTAACTGCATGTCCTATACGTTATCTGCTATCGAATAGCAGGATTGCAAATTCATGGAGTTTGGAAATATGATGGATTAAATTATCATTAGGTCGTGTAACTACTGACATTCCTCTGAGTCTGATATGCATGCAAACAACTGCCCCTGAAGAAGGTAACGCATTACTAACAGTTTTTGAACTCCTTTTGACAAATACTCCTGATTGCCCTATTACAGTGTTTTGCAGTTCTCTCGATAACGCATTGAACAGCCACACTTATATGCAGGCTGACAGGGAACTGAAAAGAGGTGCTGAGTCAACAGTTCTAAAGCTGATGCTGAGGTCAGAACCAGCTATATTTCAAAGACTGCATTAGGAGTACATTCATCCCGTTAGCCATTAAAAAGGGAAAATTATGTATTTTCATTTACAAAAAATACTTTAGAAATATAAGTCCACAGCAATACTACATACTTAAGAAAAACTATTTGTTCAAAATGTATCATCTCTTTAGATTACTTGTTTCATTTTCTTACATGTCTTGTCTTCCAAAATTTAAACTATGAATCAAAAGACTGTCTTCCTTTTTGCTTTATGGAGGTATGTAGCATTGGTACTTATTAAGAATACCTGAAGTCTACTCTTTATAGAAGCAAAATGATTTGTTAGATAATGAAAGATGTTGCATATTAAAATAGTATGATGTTTTCAATAAGAAATATGCTTATTGCCAAGACGAAATGTTACATTAAAATGAACATTTTCATACATACAAAATACTGTATTTTTCTGGAAAAGAAACCAGTAACATTTTTGTTTCCTGAATATAACATTTCACAATCATCAAGACCTATCATGCCGAGAACCAATGTCAAATTTAGGAATAAGATCATACTATGGTTTATTAAAATAAACCATATCTCTAATCTAAACATTTCACAGAAACATTAGCAAACTTCAAAACTCTTTCCAAGACATGTTTCAGATAAATGGGGTGTTTTAAAATTAATTCTCTTCGATTTTCTTCAAGTATATGAACTCATCTATAGCACATTAGACTGGCAAACTTTCAGAGAAAATTAAGGTGGTCAATGAACAGTGATGGATGGGATTCGCTTTCCTACTTCCCTAGGACACTTTAAGGTACATATTAGATTAGTTCTCTCAAGGACTGACAGTTAAAAAAACCAATAATGTTTGTTTTGTATTGCAACATACACATATTTTTGGCAAGTAAAGATACGAACGAAATAACCTCAAAAAATCTCAAAACTCTGAATATAAACTCAAAATTCCCAAAATGGTAAAATGTTAAGATAGCATAATTGTCACCAAACAGAAAAATATGCAAGTTTTAAAACTGTTGTCTGAAGTTCCATGTATTTCTAAATGACTTATCAATAAGCATGATTTATATGTTTTCTTACCTTGAAAGAGACATGTTGCTCCATATGACGTAGGAGCTGTGGTTTTTGGGCAGCTGTATAGTCACACACTGTACATTTAAACTGTTTTCCTGAAATGGGAACAGAAAATGGACCAACTTTTCTCTATTTAAGTTCAGAAAATTGCTGATTATACCTCCTAATAAAGATGATTTTCAAAATGCTAATTATGAACAATAAACAATACTAGAAGTCTGACACTTGCTCTGCAAAATTTTGGTTAAATAGAACTAGGAGTAGAGCAAGGAAGAAAAAAGGCTTGAGTGTCATCTTTCTATTCTAAGCATTAAATAGTCTAAATGCTCCTGGGATAGCCACTGGGCAAAGAAGAAAAAGAATAATTATAGGGCAGTTAAATGGAAGACAGAAATCAATTATTTCCAACTGCAGACTCTGTTATTTTGCTATTTGTAAAACAGATTTGGAAATCCTTAAAGCACAAATGTTTCTTCATGTTCATATATTTTCACCTACTTCTGTCTCAAGCACTGAATTGTTATGATTAAAATACATTTACATTTTCTTGTTTTTTCTACTGTAGGTTTTCTTTACGTATTTCTGTAATGTATGACATGACCTATTATTTTTATCACAAGATTTGGTTATGTGTTTAGCACCACTTTTGCAACAATGACTCAAACTATCATAAATGGGTTTTTCTACACTGGCTTAACGCTTATACAGGGAGAAATAAAATATACTATAGGCAAAAATAAGTTTTGATTGGCAAATAATATGGAGTTTTTGTGTTTCAACCTTTCACTTCTGCTTACAGAATTTTAAACTAATGGGCACAAGTTGCTCCATCAACACCAGATTGAATGATGCCTGCTTGCCTTGTTCATCATAGCATTTTGTCCTTTCTCATCTAAATCACTGCAGTAACCCTAAGTAACCTTCTGTAAGTAACCACAGAAGGCAAGAGAAAGCACATCCTGGGACAAGTTCACACTTTATATGTGGTGACTTACATGCTGGTGGCTACCAAACACTAGGGATAATGGGTAGGTTCTGTGACCTGTTCTTATATAGAGAGTGCTGATTCTTATTTCTTTATTTTAACTGGGCATAATTTTTCTCAAAATGTACAGAGTTATAGTAACTGCTGGACTTCTACTCTTCAGCACCAATTGTTTCAAAAATTATAGAGTGGATCAGAAGAGGGGTAATGACAATGGGTGCTATTTGCATAAACATTGCTCCTTCAGATATCAACCTAAAATGTCATTGAAAGATTTGAGACAGTCTCTGTCTCTTGAATACTGAAAGTCTGTGTTGTAAGAAGGTCTTCTACACATTACACAATTAGAGTCAAGGCAATTTATACATACATTGCTTTGTGAAAAAAAATAATGCCTTCAGTTCAGAATTGTCATCCAAAGAAAGGCATTACTTTAAGTTCTACCAACAAGACATACTTGAAATTTCTTTACATGCTTGTGAGCTTTCTAGTCAGGCATCAAAGTTGAAGGTACCAACCCTCCAACCTGAAATAGCAACAGTAAAATCAAAGAACAAGAACTAGAATTTCACCTAATGGAAGCTGACACTCAGAACATGCAGTGTAAAATAAAGTAAATATTTTTAACAGAGGGCACAATTAGTGACAATGACAATTTACTTAGAAATCAGATGGATGCTCTGTCATATGAAGTATTTAAACCAAGACTGCTTAGCCCTTCCTAAAAATGTATACTACAATTCCGTGGAAATGCGACACAAAATTATTAGGTTAAGTTATGGACTGTACTCTGCAAGAGATCAGACTTCGTGATTGTTAAGAGTCTGCTTCTGGCCCTGAAATCATTAGCCTGAGTCCTTCTTAAGGCAAGATGGTCAGACTTTGTCATGATATATTTTTAGGATTCTCTAAGAGGAATGATTCTCTCTGTCATTTTCAAGAAACATCTGTTCCTGTTTGTGGCTTTGCAAAGAGTGAAACTCCCAAACATACCACCATTCTGTCGGTTTCTCTTACTTTGCCTTCAAAGCATTCTCTCTCTCAAATCTTTTTCTTGCCTTATGATTTAAAATAACACATTTTCCTTCCTTTTAGTCCCTGTGTTTCATACTCCCTTTCTCCATTTTTCAGCTTTAAGATTCTATCAGTCCCGCTACCTCCAGCCAAATTACAAGGTGTATTAAAGACTGCATTCCCGTCTTAAATGCCCTTGGCTGGCAAACTGTATTTGACTGATGTGGAATAAGTGTGTGCTAAAAACTACTCCAAAAGGAAAAGAACCAAAAGGAAGGATGGAGCAAGTACAATACAGAATATTCTGTATTATCCTGAAGAGATGAGGTTTCTTTAGATTCCGAATCTCACTCAAAAAATTTACAAGCATTTTATACAGAGTGAAAGTTTCCATAAAACCCAGCTAAGAAAAACCTTAAGACAAATTCTGATATCTACTTAAAATAATAAAACCGAGGTTTTCCCATTTAATTCCGATCACAAACAGTAATAAGCCTGGACTATGGGACTGTGTTTTATCATGCCACTCTTGAGAAGTCTGTCTTCTGGAGAAGAATAAAGCAGGCAGAAAATTACATTTCACTGGTTAAATTTACTTTGCAGGGCTGATATTTGAACAAAAATTGCCTGGATTTATAAGTCAGAAAGACAAGACTCATAAACAGCAAAGCATCTTTCAAATTCATTTATTTGTGAAATAACTGAAGAACACTAGATGTGTAGTAGTAGGAACTTTTGAAGTGCTGCCACTACAGAAAGGGACACCGGGCAAAGAGAAATTGTCAGTATTCAAGAGGCTGAAAGTCCCTTAACTACATTCTTAGTGACAAATGTTATCATATTTTTCACAAGTGTTTGAAATGCATGAGGAGTTTACTGGGGTGGATTGGACTCCACAGGTAGTGAGATTCTCTTACCACTGAAGCCAATGGCAAAATATATATTTCAGCATGGGGAATGCTTTTGGAAGTGCAAAAAGCAAGGCAAAAGAGTGCTAAGTATTGGATTCATTTGTGTCAGTCAAAAAGGGAGGTGGATCAACAAGGATCGTGCAGTTATCTCAGTTATTGCAGAAGATGATGACAGTCTGAAGCCAGAAGAAAAAGGCTCCTGGTAATATCACTGCCTCTAGAGTCAAGGCTTCAGCCCGACCTAACAGTAAGTGATCAGAGAATATAGTTTCTTGCATGCAACTACATGTTTAAAATTAACTTCACACCTTTAAACCAAATCAGGACAAGACTAGCTCTTGCATGACTATACTCCTATTCTTAGCAGTGCTAAATTTTCAAAGTAGCTTCAGCTGAATTGCAATAGTTACTTATGCACATATATATATATTTTGTTCAGGAAATAGAACTAAGTAACAGGTAAAACCAAATTCAACTTCCATTGCCGAATTTCACTATTCCAGCATGCCAGATGGTGAAAACAAACCAGAAAGGTCTTGAAATGAAACCCCACACAGACATTTTTACAGCACCACAGAAAGAGGCCATTTTTTTCTTTATAATCTATCATGCTCCAAGTTTCCTTTTAATTCAACACAACCTGCCTCCTTCTCCAGGCCAGGAATCAGCTGAGGACTGCATTTGATAAGTAAAATAATTGATTCTTGCATATGAAGTTTAGATGCATATGCAACATCTGCTTGTTATTGATCAACTTATTTCAAAGTAGTCAAAGTATTTTTTGAATAACTAGTGATTTACTGACTAATGGTAATACTACAGTAACTTTGGTAATACTACAGTAACTATATGCTTCCTATAATATGCATCATATCAATGTAAAAGGGATCATCTCTTTCACTAATATTATACATACAGATATAAGCATACATAAATATAAATAAATATATCTGACACAAACTTCACATACATTCTATCAGGGCATGTGCTTTTTCTGTGAAAGGACAATGCTAATGATATGCAATTTTAAAAAAATAATTTTAATGGTCAAAAAAGAGTGAAATGAGGTTTCACGAGGTTGCACAAGTAACAAAGGTCAAGCTGTTAAGTCACAATGAAGGTGTGTACAACTCATCTTGCTAAATCATTTACTTCACTTTAATAATCACAGAGGAATAAAGTATTATTGCATTCCAAATTTTGAAATCAAAGATGATAATTTTATGGATTTGTATCTCACATTTTTGTGCTATCATCACAGAAATATTAAAATCACAGAGCAAATGTATACGCTGCATGGGTGCCTATAGGGAACATGCACTCAGGCTTGCACTGACTAGACCTGGGACACCGAGGTGCAGCCGCCTTGCCTCTACTTGGCTACTGGATTCAGCAACTCCTAACTATTCTCACAGAAGAAAGCAGTAAGAGACTTAAACGTGGAACTGCTTGTATTTTTAAATTTCTGTTGAGATCAACAGTTCCCTCTAAGAGGGCTATAAGGCCACCCAAAATTTTAGAAAACTCAAGCATTTCAGAGACAGCTGTCTTAATTTTGCAAAGTTTCTAGTTATTTCACAATCAGTATCTCCTGGGAATTAAGTAGCATTTAGTGTTCAACCTAAAGATGCTTGTTAATAAGGTCCTATAGTATAGTCTGTATTTATTGCCCTAAAATAAACTTGGATTTAATAAACATGCACTTACCATCAGCAGTATGAAGGAGCTTATGGCTCTTCAAAGTGCCTTTTGATTTGAACTTTTTCCCACACATATCGCAAAGGTGCGTTTTCTCAGTGCTGTGACGATTCATATGGGCTTTCAAGTTACTCTTGCTGCGAGTGGCATACTCACAGAGAGAACATTTAAAGGGCTTGACACCTAAAAATAAAAAAATACACTATGAAACACACAAGTTGTACATTTTGATGAGAGGGTGGACATTTGCTTAAAAGAAATTACAGAACATGTGAGCAACATAGGCAAAAAGGTCAAAATTTTAAAATTTGGATATCTACATTGAAGAAATTTAATCTATAGCTTCTGTGTAAATGATACCAGGCTTTTGACAGCATCATTTAATTTACTAAGAGAAATGAGGGGTTCTTTTAGAATTAAATACTTCCCTACCAAAGCCAGGTACTGAGTTTAACCAAGAAAATACCAACACCAAAACATTTGTACATTTGAACATCCTTAATTTCAAAGTAGAATACAGGCTGCCTGAGTTGATGCCTAGCTGGTGTACATACCAAATCTCCCTCTAAAAGTCTTCAGATAACTATCATTCTCTCTTTACTACAATAAAGAATGAAGAAACCTGTTTTAGGAGGACTGGTTCATTGGGTACTTAGTACATAATTACAGGTTAATATACAAAGCTGTGTTTTATTGATAATTAGCATGAGATTTGTTAATGGCTCACACAGTAGTACTTTTTCCCTCCCCCTCTGGTAGAGTGCGAGCACTTAGAATCTCACTTCTGTCAAACCGTCCAAAGCATGTCATAGAAAGACACACAGTATGTCATCTACCAGAAGGTCTAAAAGAACAAAATAAATCCTTCAAAGAAAAGCTAAATAAATCTGAAGCGGCAGACTAGTTCAACAGTTTCACGAGGCTCTGGCAGTTTTAGATTGATATTCATGACCTTAAAACTAGATTTACAAGCATGAGGAATTATAGCCTACTTCAAGCAGACCCGACTGCACATTTTGATTTTGTAATAAATTTCCATTCACCTCTTTCTCCTGCTAGTTAGATAAGATGGGTTCCAAGCTTTCTTAGCAGAATAAACTGTATCTATAGAATACAGAAGTAATTGCTCTAAAGACTACAATTTTGCATTACCTAAACTCCTTAATAGAGTAGAGGCTACTGGAGAGGACCACTAATGAAGTACACAGGCACGTAAGCGCATCATTAAAGCATTCAAACAAAAGTACTAATATAAATGTGTGAACTACCTGCATGGGTACAAACACTTCGTAACCAAAATATTGGTCTGAGAGTACCAAATGCCATTATCCTCTCTATGTAGAGGGATGGCTAAAGAATCCAAAACAATGCTCAAATGCCACAGGCAATCTGTACCATAAATTATTAACTGACTAAAGAGCATATGATCTTTAAGGTCCCTTCCAACCCAAAACATTCTATGATTCTATGTCAGCTAGCTGCCACACTCAGCACGATTTAATTAAAACACACACAGAAGTTATATACATATGTCAAAGCAACCGGATTTCAATTGTTTTACTAATAGATTTCCAGACCAAGTATTTTTAGACAAATATGAAAGGAGCAGCAGTTATTCACGAGAAATTATAGAAAATTACTCGTTTTAAGAGACTAAGCATGTATTTAATTCACTCCTCCTCACTTGCATTTATTATAGAATACTTTATGGAGGTTTATGAAACAGTTTTGGAAAAAAATTTAATCATAAACTTATTAATATTATTTAACATTTAAGCTATCTATTCATGTTATGAGCATGCAGTTTCATATGTGATCCACAATCTATCAAACTAATTCTTTAACCTCTACTGTAGCCTAAAGTTTCTGATTCTGGTATAGCCATAAGTTTTCATTCCTTTTTATGTCAGTAAAGCTTGTGTGGAATATGAGACTGATCATATGCCCACAACCTTAAAACCAGAGTTTTACCTTCATGAGCCCAAATATGACGCTGAAGGTCTGATCCATTCTTCATAAAATAAAAATCACAGTAGGGACATTTCACAGCTCGTTTTCCAATAAGTCCTTTCAGCTGAACTCTTCTGCCAAGAATCTCAGAAATAGTAGTCATTGAAACCTCTGAGAGAAAAGTTAAAGGTAATAAAAACCAGAAGGACATGAGGGAATTTGTTCTATGTTATATAAGTAATATTGAAGAGCCAGATCCTGATTCACTCCAACTTTTTAAAAACTCTACTTCCCCTACTGCCACCTAGATAAAACCTAAGCAAAGAACATAAGGATCTTTTTTCCCTTACAGCTTCTAGAATGTTCTGTCCTTCCTCTCCTGATCTGTGTACTCAATATCCCCAATGTCTGGCTAAAAAAAAATAGATAACTGAAATACAAAAAAATCTTGGGTATGCCACTGTCTTAGAAATCCTTTTCCAACTATGAACTTTCCCAATAAGCTAATTTGGCACCTTTTTCTTCAACATTTTCAAAAGACTTTATTCAAGATTTCATCCCAGATTTCCAGAGCTGAAGGATCTGAAGACGATTCACTTGAGCCACAGCTACAATGATCAGAATGCCTGATAATCAGAAACTTTAAAAACAGACTCACAGAATAAATAAGATTGTCAAGGACCTCTAAAGTCACCTGCTCTAAGCAGGGACAACTTTGGAGTTCCAACTTCAAAGTTAGATCAAGTTGTTCAGGACCATATTCAGTCCTCTTCTGAACATATTCAAGGATGGAGATTCTACAACCTCTCTTGGCCCATTCCAGTGTTTGACCACCTTTACAGTCAAAATGATTTCCCTAATTTCTAAACAGAATCTCCTTGCTTCAACTCATGTCTCTTCACTGTACAGTTCCAAGAAGATTCTGTCTCTTGTGTTCTTTTTAAACGCTTATCAGATAGCTGAAGACAACAATTAAGATTCCTCTCCTAGCCTTTGCTTATTCAGGCTAAACACACTCAACTCTCCACGTTTTTCCTTCACACAATCTAATGTTTCAGTTGTCACAGTGAAAAAGCTCAAAATAATGACGTTTAAATTAAAATGTCCCAAACACACATAATGAAAACAATGCCAAATGCTTTTAAAAAATACATCAAATTACTCAATGCATTTCAGACTAATAAAATGCTATCATTTGACTCAATGAAACTACAGCACTCATGCAATCTAAACATTAAGACATGAAGCCTGATGACTTATTATGCAAAAAATCTTATAAAATTTAAAAGTTGCAGTCTAAACTTAGATTTTTACCAAATATGAACCTAGTCTCCTGACAACTGGTCCCAGAGTGGAATAAAAAAATCCTGCCTGAACTCATATGCACAAGGAAAACAACCTCAAAAGGGAAATATAAAAGCCCATGGACTGAGCAGATATATGTTCTAAAGTACCCAAAAAAGAAAAATACAGACCTAAGTCTGAGCCCCCAACTGCCTTCTATGGCTTATATTCTTCATTCACGACTGCAGGCTGGTATGGCTGCTTAGTAGAGATCTATGAAAGATGATGCCTCTCATGTCTCAGGACTATTAACAAATTTCATATTAAATCAGACAAGAGGATGGGAAGGTGCATAATTTGAAGAACTGGCACCAGAATACAAGACCCCTCCTTCGCTGCGGAGTACCCAAGTCATTTGGCAATAAAGCCAAGCTCTCTTATCTCTTTGTTTAGAAATACTGCTCTACCAATAGAGATTTTTGTCCCAGTGCCTTCATGGGACCAAATTTCAACTCCTATTCTCTGCAAACCTAGAAGAGGAAAGAGTACTGTTTTCTTTCATATTTTCTACTTGATGAAATAGAAGAGACAAGAGAGGGGTCATGCTGAATGATATTAAGAAAGGAAGGAGAGGGGAGCTCCAGAAATAGCATTTTAATGATAAATATGAAAGGGGTTCAGTTTAAATTAATTTCTGATATGTCATTTTAAAATCAATTCCTTTTTACAGTATCCATTCTTCCTTTCATCTTTATTATTTTCCATTTATATTTTTAAAAACAATTGCACTCATTCCACTGCAGTACTTGATAGTTTATACCATCAGACCCCTTACATTCGTTTGGCTTGTAATTAATTATGTTGTACGAATAAAAGATTTCCTCTTAATTACAAGGATGGCATGCACAGGAAAAAGATTTGTGTCTTAATTCTCCTCCATATATTAAAATATTGTTGTTGCATAACTACTGCATAGGATATCTTAGCTGTAGTACTTCTTTAGTACCATGGAGATATATCTAGTAAATCTTGTATTTTGCTTTTAAATTCTATTCACCTACAATATCTGAATTTAAAATGAGGACACAAAATACTAGGCTGTGCAGATTTTCTCTTCTAACCTTACTTCTATTATAACCCAGAGTTTAAAAGAAACCATCTTCCTGGATCAACAAATTTACACTCCACTTTTAAGCAGCTTCAGATATCAAATGAATTGTTCAAAAGTATTTAAATGCATGAGTTTAGCACATCAGGGATCCAGAGTTAGCTGCTATTTCTGGACCCCAGACACAGGATACACTAATAATTTAGCAGTCAATGGACCAGTGCAGGCCAATGGCAACCTGTAAGGGCACAGTACATAACGTACTACTAGTTCACAGATCACAGTATTTAGGGAAGTGTCACATATTCCCTGGCAGAGACAGCACAAAGGCTTTATAGGGACAGCTCGTGAGAATCAATTTCTGTTCTTACTGGGTGACATACCTCCTGACTACAGTATAGCACAGAAGCCTTTCCTCATCTCAACTTGTTGCATCAGACATGTCCCCTGATGACAAGCCCTCCACCAACCACACTGTTGTAGAGTGGTCTGCAAATAAAAAGGTTTGGTAATTGAAGAGCTAAACTGGGAATTAGTCTGAAATTAAAGTGAAGGAAATTGTTTAGAACCCGGGTCTAGCACTATCTAGTGGCAGTAGGAAGATAAGAAACCACTGCTTTACCTATTACGTTGTATTTCAGACAAAGACAATAAAAGTCAAGTAACTTTAACTGGATTTTTCCTTCCACAAACACAGTTTGAGGGTGGTCAATATTTTCCTACTTAATAGTAAATGATGTCAGGTGATAAGTAACACTGTAGAAGGAGTTAATTAAAGCACGTTAGCCAATGCAGTCAACTCTCCTTCATCCACAGTAGCAGAGGGCCTTTCTATCCAACATAATACAGATACTGAGACGGAACATATGGACACACCAATGCAGCCTTGCCAAGTTCACATCAGTCAGATTTAAATCAGTCCCTGCACCAGTCACCTGGGTACTTTGGCACTGAATTCCCAAGATTTGAGAAAGGATTCTTTACTCAGGCATGGCACACTGACTTGCTGCATTCATTTTATGTTGTGTTTGCATGGATAAATCAGGGCACTAGAATGCAAGGTATAAAGAGGTGAATGGGCTGCAATGGTTAGCTAGGATCCAGCCAGGCTTGGCAGCTCCAGCTTAATACTGGCCGTACTACATCACAGCTGGTTCTAGTAAGAGCCCTGCTGCATACTTCAGCTGGCCCTGAAGGTAAAGCCCAGCCACACACCAACTGAGCGTGCACAGAGCCAGCTCAGGGACCTCTGCATTCAAGTGAACTACCTACAGACAAAATAATGTGCAATAAACACATTTCTGTCAGTTTATATATGGCCAATGCGAATTTTATGTCTCATGGGTTGTTACAGGATGCACATATGCCTAATTCCAAACTTCCCACTGCTTAATTTGAATTCACCTAGGTCCTCTTTTGGAAATGAGTTCTTTGCCAGATGAAGACAGATTTCTTAGCACAATTACCTGATACACTCCACAACACACAAGCTGGAACAATAACTTTTTTCACTCTAAATTCTAACATCTGCAAACCCAACACAATTCCTACTCTAATCCAGTTAAATTAGACACAGACTCTTCTCTTTCTTTGGAATGTAATCACATTACACTGCTCACTCTAAACCTTTATCCATTTTTGCAATAGACAGAGAAATCTTCCTTGCTTTTTTTCTTACCAGGGTGATTTGTCTTGATGTGTGATTTTATAAGTCGATCTTCAGAAAATGACTTCTCACACACAGGACAGGAATAACTCTTTTTATCCTTAAGCGAGAAAGAAAGAAAGAGATTGCCTTATCAGTCCACTGGTGTAATCACTATAGTCACTATTCAGTAATACACGGTTCCCAACAAAGTTATAATTGAAGGCTCAGTTTTTAAGGAAAAAATGAATATACTTATAATGAAATAAGTGAGGGAGCCATATTTAAGTACTCTAAGCACTTCATTAATTGTCATGAATGAAGGGCTCCAAGTTACAGCACAGGAGAAAATGAACCATAAATGTGAGCATTATCTTCTGACTGACTCTCTAGAGAATCAAGAGTTGAAAGATCAAGTCACATAACAGAAGAAAACATATTTGATATAAGCAGTATTTTTTTCATTTTTTTCCCAAATCCACCCTTCCGAAACCTAAGAATCAGATCTCATCATTCTAAAGACGTTCACCAGTACATGCATTTATGATACTACTTAATGGCCTGAAACTGAACAGAAGAGTTAACAATGACAGATGCCATTACTTATTCAGTGTCTACATTTCTAACTGCTTTATAAATATTCAGCATTTTAGGTATTACCAATGAAGTATTATTGTACTATTTTGATTTAAAAACTTACAGACTACTCTGGCTTTTATCAGTGTCACTGATGATATACAAGATTTAACACCATCAAACAAGTTGAACTGGAGAATTTTGATGCAATTTTTTCCTACATGTAATTTCAGTGTCATTGTAATTTTAATGTTTTTACGGACACATCTAATGCCACATAAAAATACAGGACTTTTCTCCATTAATTGGTAAATTGCAGAATTTAAAATAATCATTGCTGCTTATTATATAAATTGGAGAGGCTGTTATTTCCAGAAGCATCTGCTGACACAGCAGACTGGATGCTCAATCAAATGAGTGGGTCATCTAGCCATCTCTGCACTGACCAGATTAACATATGAATGGATTATCAAAACAACAGATGGAGGAAAAAAAGTCTAGGTACTCCTGACAACTAGGCAGATAATCAGACAACATATTACCTGGTGGGAGACGTGTACCAAACTGAAATCACTGTAAAAAGCGAGCTGAAGCTACAGTACAGATTATTTCATTAGTTATTTCAAGAGGACAGAAAACTTCAAGAGCATGGAAGGAAATTACTGTATCAAAAAGAGACAGACCCCTGCGTTGTGAAAGAGAAATTTTGAGGTAACAGGAGAATAAAGGTCCTGGACTCTACCAGTTTCTGACCTGAGACCAAACAGCATCTCTGAACAGCAAGGAAAAAAATAAAAGGAAGTTATTGTTGTCTATATTCTGCAGTTACACATCTATAAATGCACATCTCTGTCTCAAAAGAAAAGCAAAAATTGATGGTGTTTCATGGCAAATGTTTAGGAATGTGATGCGGGTATTTGCATTCATTATCATGCACTTCTGAGAAGGAAATCCCTATGTTGAAGTACCTACAAGTTAAAAACAGAGGCAGCCCTAGAACTCATGGGCTGAAATAGCAATAACTAATTTCATGACAGCAGGACACGGGATATGAAGCTCTCATTGCCATTAATATGGCAATGACACAAGGAAAATTCTGCCTGCACTGTTAGAAGGTCATTTGCTCCTGTGCGAAAACCTACACCAAGGACCTGGATGGCAGCTTCTAAAGGATTAACACTCTGAGTAGAGTAAGGAGTATCTTGTTATGATGGAGTTGGGCCAGCCGCTATCGGGCCCTGAGAATCTCAAGTGAAGAAGGAAAAACACAGAATATTAGCCAGTTTTTGGAAGAAGAGATTCAAGGAGCCTACAACGCTGACAAAAATCTTCTCAAGAAAGAGTTGTTAATTTGCGGAATTAGGGTCTCTCAGATGATATAACCTACTGTCCCTAAACCTGTTGCTGATGATTTTGGACTTCTACATAAATAAGTTGCTCAAATGCAAATTGGTAGATTAATTCTAATAAAGGTCTATAGCAATGGTTGCACCTTTTCCAGGACTGGGTTTCATGATCACATTTAATAATTTTGCACATGTAAGAAAAACCTAAGCATGGTATTATCGCTGAGGGGCCAGCTGAAATTTGTTGACATATCTCTGTCTGTTCCTCAAACTCACTATAACAGAGTAATATGAAAGTACAGTCACCAAGAACACATTCTTCCATGCCATGATGGTAACAAAATAATACAAACGGCTTTTTTCAAGCAGTTAGAAAGTTACTAATATGAAGTTCTGCAGTAAATTATTTTCAAAACATGCATCCTTTGTAGCACAACAAACAGACAGTACTTCTGAACACGGAGTCCCTTCAAAGTGTATCTGTCAAGCTGCAGTCTCACAGAAAGCATCCAGCTGAAGACAAACCTTTCACGGCTGTTTGTCCAGGTCAGCGTCACAGACTGTTGAAGCTTACATTATTAGTTTTGAATGTTTAAGTGTAGTTCAGCTGTTGCACTGAGAGTTTGTGACAGCGCTAGTCTGTCAGTGTAATCCCATCACTCTCAAAACCAGCCTCTAAGAAATCTTCTGTTGCAAAGGATGTATTTCAGAGCACCCAGGTCACAACACAACGCGTCAAAGAAGGTCTCCTCCACCACAGCTTTAGCTCCTCAGAGTGCCCTTGTCACGGGCAATGACAGAGACACTTTGAAGGAGTCAGACCAAGGTTGTAGTAACACTTTCCTTACATTCTCAGTGTGCAAGTTTTCCTCTGCCAAGAACAAAAGTTATTCATCGCATGCCTTATCGGAGTGCCTGCCTTTAAAATGCCTTTGAGGTTTTTTTTGAAGGAGACAAACAGAAGCAAGGTATCACAAGAGCTGGATCTGCCTCTGTTAGACACCAGCTGCACAGTCCAATCAGTTACTTAAATTTCAAAGCCACATCCTCACTTCCTGATATTTGCTTAATACCCTTATCAGCTGACTTGAAAAAATACAAGAAACTTAAAATAATTCCAAGATAAAGTTAGCTTTCTAACTGAAAATCCTGTTCACATTCCAGAAATCAGGAATGAATTAGTTCCATAAATATTCTTAAATCCAAACCCAGTGAAAAAAATTAGTCTAATACTATCACAGAATTTTCTTGTTTATGTTATGTTTCATTATAAAATATGGCCACTTACATAGGAATCACAATGCCTTTCTCTTTTTATAAATGAATTAAAATTGTGTTAAGAAAGCATCAGCTATTATCAATTCATAGCTCTCTGAAAAGAATTTTGTTTCTCTAAGGCATGTGTTTCAAGACAATTCAAGGGGTAGGTGTACTAGTATACAGTCACAAAAAGAAAAATGAAAAGCCTCTGCAGATGTAGCATTTAAACCAACAGACCGCCATGAAGTTTATTTAATTAACCAAATAGTACTAAATATGACCTATGCTGCCAAACATCAGAAACATTAGCAGCTATTCTGCTGTACTCAGCAGTAAAGAGATGTTCTCATGACACAAATATCCTCTCTTATGAACATACATAGAATACATAAAATAATATATTTTATGATCTATAATGCAATTCTGCCACTAATTTCAAAAGAGATTGTGTGAACACTCTTTGTTATCAGTTCCATTAATAGTGTAAAATTAAGACTTGGCCATAATAAAAAGCGTTCAGGCACAAATTAGACAAATACATTATAGAAATCAACACTCCACTCCCCTCCTTTTAGTAGTAGTGACATAATTTTATGAGCAAGAAATAAAACAACTCAATTAACACAACACTTGATTGGGTAATTTCACAGAGGAATAGAGAGCCAAAACCTGCTCCTACACCTACTCAGATCAACAGAAATTTAACTTCTAACACCTACGTCAACAGACTTAGGCCCTCAAATTACACTTCTGAAGACGTCCAGAAATCTTCACCACAGTTGTCATGATGTTCAAATCAAAATTTTCATTAAAGATTCCTGAATTAAGCTGATGCCCTATTAAAATGCAACTTAGCTAAGTGGATCTGATGTACCCAGGAGGCGGTTATGCACACGTGTGAAGGAGGCTACAGAAAAACTTGCAAATGGTTAGACAGACTTTTATGAAGCCTGCCAAGCAGCAGAAATCACAGCTCACAAAATGACAAGCACCTGCACAGAACACTGCTTAAGTATTTCTCATGAAAAAACTGCTAGTAAAAATAAATGGCTAGCTGACACTCATTATGGAAGCAAGGACCAAGAACAAAAGCCATTTTCCAACTGAATGCCCGATCATTAGACCAGAGATTTTTTTGGTTAATTCCTTCCCTCTCCAGTACTTTGCATTCTTGACTACAGAGTGGCATGGGTCCAGAGGCAAAGGTATCCCAGGCAGACGAGTGATGGTCTGAAAATGAACACTCCTCAGGAAGGGGAAACAAGCAATCAGAGCTCAAGTGTCTCACTTCCTCCCGAAAGCTCTAACTATGCTATTACACAAAAGGTCAGCAGCATAATGAAATTACTAAGCACCCTTCTGAAGACATTTACACCCAGAAATGTATGTGAATGCAGACACAGGCACCTAAGAGCGAGTGGCTGTTCTGGGTCTGAACTCCAGTTTTATAGAGGTGCTTATCTTGGCATACCAATTACATACAGAGATTTAAAATAATTTCAGACACAAACCTCTCTGTGATGTTTAGCTGCTCATCACATTGAGTATTGTAAAACTCACTGGAGGTTGCAAACAAACTCCGGTACCAACATCTGCATTGTTTAGTTCCACAACTGGTCCCTAATGTTACCACCAGCTCATTCATAACTATAAATTATTTGAAAGCCATTAGAAACTGCCCACCCCTTTCCTCGGTACTATGACATTGAAGTGATTCACACGTGTCATGGTTTGAAATTCTAAAGAGCTCTAAAAATGCCAAGATTTGTCAAAAACTACTACATGAGCCTTAGAGGTAAAAGAAAGGTACAGAAAATCAGATAATATAAGCAAAATTTTGGGTTTAAATCAAGCCAAGCCTCAATTCCCAGACTTTAAAAGTAAAAATCTTCCCTGTAACAAACATGTAGCCAATATTGAGGCAAGAGGCAGCACATACATAGTCCCCATCATCATTTCCCAGGGAATAAACAATCCTAAATTCAGTGCAAGACTTGGATAGGTGTAGAGAATAAAACTAAAGCTATGTACTGAGTGACAGGGATGAACAGTAAGCTGCTTTTTAATTACCATCATTTATCCTGTTCAGCAAATAAGACAGGGATCCAGTTGAAAAGCAGCCAGCAACAAGGTAACAAAAGACAGGCATTCATACAAGGAACTAAACTGATTTTTGTATCTTCTATCTCCATGGAAGCTTTTTAATATTTATTAAGAAACAATTTTGCAAACTAAAATTAACATTAAAGTATCTTTCCAAATTTAACTGTGCACAGTTCATTAAAGTACTATATTTTGGAATGAGTAGCCCTGAACTGTTCAGTGAGGTATGCATTAAGCAAAGACACAAACGCCACTATGAGAACTGACAAGTTTAGTTACCGAGTAAATTCAAATACACAAATTTTTCAATCCATTTAAATACTCAGATATGTTTGTCAGTAAGCATCAGTAAGCATACTTCTGAAGGATCTCACTGTCACACTGTTTTTAATTATGAAATGGATTTTCTCAGTTCTATTTAGTATCATGAAAATAATCCTCCTGGTGGGAGTTGTCAGACATTCAAAACACTTGAAAAACAGGTACTTACGTAAGGATACAGGATATCTAATTGTAGGCTCTATTTTCTTAAGTAGTCTCAGATATCATTATCATTTACAGGTTGCCCAGAGAAGTTGTGGATGCCCCATCCCTGGAGGCATTCAAGGCCAGGCTGGATGGGGCCCTGGGCAGCCTGCTCTAGTGGCTGGCAACCCTGCCCACAGCAGGGGGGTTGAAACTAGACGATCTTTAAGGTCCTTTTCAACCCAGGCCATTCTATGATTCTATGGTTCTATGATATGTACATACATTGTAATCTCTTTGGCCATACACAAGTCTAGAACGTCCCAGATCAATTATACCATGCAAGCAGAAAGGATCCCGGCATGTAGTAGGAAAAGTAATCCATGGTATGCAGACCTTTTCTGACAACAGATTAAACTATTTGGGTCACTAATGCAAAATAATAAAACATCAACAAGAAAAAGCATGGCAACACTAATGTAAAGAAAATAATTGTTTTTTCTTAATTTTGCAAGAAAAGCACATAAATAATTTCACTTCTAAAAAAACACCTTAATCAACAACCAACAATAAAGACCTCATTCCTTTGTTTTAAAAGATTTCTTATTCTGAATACCATAATGTATTTTTAAAAATATACTGTTGAAACAAATGCAAGCATGGTTGATGTAGAAAACATTTTTCTTCAAAAGATGATTCATGCTATAATGCTGGATCAGACAAAGATCACAAAGCAGTGTCTTGCACAAAGTCAGGCATGCAGCCCCTTGCATGTTCTCAAAGAAAACATGGAACAGGCCACACTGAAGAAGCAGACCAAACTTGGTTTCAAAACAATGGCATTCAGAGCTGGAAGGCTTACTGAGTAAGATAGGAGCCTTTAAATTGTGATCTCTTCATCTTCATAACCACAACAGAAAATGGTAGATGCTGAAAGAGACTGGCTGCAAGTAGTTTGAACTACTGAAAAAAAAAAATATTTTCAACAACTTCAACTTCTTCTGTCTATAGTAGTCAAGAAAGGAACATATTTTCATTTTACCATGGTCATCTCTTTATGAAGGATGTGAATGCAGGTCCATGGAATGAAGTAAAGTAACAACAGTACCAGACATCATTTTACTCTCTCAAAACCCAAAGAATCTGGGAAAACCAAAGGGAAAAAAGGGATGCAGATCTCTCTACTGGAAACTGCTACAAGAGGGACCAAATATCTAGTTGTTGTAACTCATGTATTCCCTCCACAGAATTAGGCAGAGCACGCTGGGTAAGAGCTCTTACCTATGTCTTCAAATATTGTCACACAATTCCAACACTATGACGATGACAGTGAATTGAGACAAACATACCATTTTGTTCGTTACTTACCAGTTCCGTGTGAACTTTAAGATGTGCCTGGAGCTTGTATTTATCTGGAGTAGAGTAGTCACAATGTTCTGTAGGACATTTCAGCAAAATATTACTGTGTTTCTGAATGACGTGACGCTTAAGGCAGTTTTTGGTGATGGAAGAATAATTGCACTGGGAGCAGTAATACAAATGTTCTCGAGTGTGCGTACGAACGTGCATATCATAATGCACTTGGTACCAAAACAACTTGCCTGAAAATAAAATGACACACAAAGAAAGTAATTTCTAAACAACTGTTAGTGAAAATTCCAATGCATGCCCAATTCTCTTTCAGGGCAAAACACACTGTTTGAATCCTGTCCCTTTTGTCTTTAATAAAAACTTGTCCTAAAGACCATTCACTCCTGAAAATATGTTTACAAAAAACATTTGTATCCAAAAATATTGTGCCATATGTCCTGAAACAGTCTAACAAGGGCAACTTTAATACACATCAATTATCTTTTTCCTCATGAGAAAGTCCTTTAAATCTGTTCTCCTACACAAAGACTCTGAATGCAACTGTACGCCAGAAGAGACGGTAAAAATACTTTTTTTTTTTTCACTTCCTTTTGTGTTACTCCTTCCTAAAAGCGTTTCTGACATAATGCCACCAAGGAGTGCATGGCAATTCATCTAATGTACAATGTTATGGTGTTTCAAAAATTTTTTTTTTTTTTGGGCAAACTTTGATTCCCTTCTCCAGGATGAATCACAAGACTACAATGAATCCAAAACTGTTTCCTTTCCAGTTATGGAAACACAAAAATTCTCAGCTAGAATAAATGGGAATGGTGTATTATTTCCACTTCCATAAATTCAAAAAACCAATTACAATCAGGACAGTCTTGATCTGATACTCTGTAATGAAAATTTTCATCTCAAAAAAACTGGTTCAAAACAAGTCACAAAAATATGCCACTATATACATATCCATTGTAGAGAATGTATATTATCATACATCCTCCCATACTACATGAAAAAAACTCAGAATTCTATACTACGCTGATAATGAAGCTCAAGCATTAAAGCATGGACTGACTAATGCTGATCACATGCCTGTATCTGCTGTGCTTGGCCCCAGTGAAAGATATAACGTGGGGAGAGGCACATTGACAGAAAAAATCGAATTCTATCAAATTTCACATCAACAAAAAATTTACCCTTGTAAAGGATTGCATTCCTATATTCTGATAGTCATTTTTTGAGGAGATTTGAGTCATTTCACACTATTTATACAGCACAAAGTAAATCTCTGGACCCCAAAATCCATACTGAACTACAAAATTAATAGTGCTACAAAGGTATACAAACATATCAAACACTATAAACCACAGTAAAAAGATGGCCCACTACATAACATTTTAAAAAACCAAACAAACATAATTCTACTGCTCCTTACCACAATATTCACATTCTAAGTCTCCATAAACCTTCCTTATCCTCTCACACAACTCCGTGTTCATTTGTCTCTTCTGCAAGCTATCCAAGATCTGCATAAAGGCAACAGCTCCGCTCCCACTGTCTGATGTAACCGCATTAGAAGAGGCTGCCCGTGGACGGGCGGCTGCATCCGCTTCTGGTGCTGCCAAGGGCTTTGTGGTTTCTGTTGAATCTTGAATTGGTGGATTGCTTGTTTCTGATTCATTAGAAGGGACAGATTGATTTCTCTCTTCAGAGACTGAAAGGTCCTCAGTCACTGCATTGTTCTGACTTGGATTTAAACTTTTGTCTTCAGATAGCAAAAGATTAATTTCTTCACCCTGCTCATTTACAGAATTGCAGTGATTAACTTCCTCTTCATTTGCAGGAGAAACCTTTAACACATCAGAGCCAGAAGTACCGTCTTTCTGCAGAAAGCAATCTGATGCTACGCTGGATTGAATGCTTGCAACTCCTATGTCTGCTGGCTGACACAGCTTCTCTGTCAGATTCTCCACTGGAGGATTTTCAAATTCTAACAAAGGGACCGTATCAATTTTTAAGTCACCGTTATGTTGGCCATTATGGTTTACATCTGCAGCTGTTGAGTCACCTTTACAAGCAGAAGGTTGTGGTGTGTCAATAGCATTAGTATTCATGTCACCTAATTCATCTGTACTTTGTGCTACCTGTTCACCAAGGGCTTCCGGCTGGATATCACCTCCCGGCTCAAGAAGGCAGAAACTTTGATTGATAGAACTGTTAAAAACAGAAGTCTCATGCAAATCTGCGTGCACATCTTTGATGTGAGCATGGAGCCTTACAGAACTGACAAATTTCTTCAGGCACACAGAACACACGTAAACAAATGGGTGCTTTCGCACATGAAGCTCAAGAGCTTGGTATTTAGTGGCTCCATGACCACAGAGCTCACAAGCAAAGGGCCTTTCATCACCATGAACAAGCATGTGACGGTCTCGGTCGAGTTCATTTTTGAATTTGCGTTCACAAATGTGGCAGTCGTAAAGAAGTTGTCTTTTGCCCTCCCGTGTCATCAAGCGAAGCTCATCAAAAACATCCTTCACCTTTTTATCTTGAAGGTCATGTGTTTCCTTGATATGCTTGATCAAATTTTTAACATCTGAGTACTTCTTTTTGCAGAAGCGACAATGCTGCTTAATTTTCTTATGAACTCTTTCAATATGGACTTTGAGATGGCCTTTGCTGAGACAAGTGAACGTACAATAATCGCAGCTAAACTTCTCCCCTGTATGTTTCCGCATGTGAACATTGAGGTTGGCTTTGATTGCGCTGGCATAACTGCAGTATGAACACTTGTAAGGTTTTTCATTTGTATGAATCCTCAAATGTGCTTGGAGGGAGTGTTTAAATTTGAACACCTTGTTACAGTATTCACATGTAAAAATCTTCAGCTGAGTTGGACCCAACCTAAAAGGAAACCAAACCAGTTGTATTTACAATATTGAAACTTAATGACATAATACATCAAAATTTCCCTAGATATTCATATTGGGCAGAAATGTTTATTTTAAAAAGGTGTTCTCCACAGGCTTTTTAAATTCTAGAGCTTATGCACAGATTATTTTCAGCTGTTCCTTTATTTTAAAGGCTCAGAAAATATTTCAGTTGCATGCAAACGGATACGGAAGCATTTCATTCATATTTTGCGTGAACAGAAATGTAAGTACTTCAAAATTACCTGCTTGATTTCATTGCCTGTTCATATGGGGTTTGCTGAATGGCATATTCTTGATACCCTCTTCGTTGTGATGAGTCTTGAACTGTCGCCTCTGGAGTTGTGGGTTCACTTTCTTGGGGAGTGGCCTCAACAGGAACAATTTTTGTGGCTCCTAAAAGCAAGAACAAAAAAAGCTCATTAAAAATGTCATATTAAAACACACATTGTCTATAATATACAAGTGTATACATAACACTAAACTCTGCAATCATTAGTTCAACTATTTCAGTTTCAGTTGTCAAATTCACTTGCATAAAATGATGGAAACACTTCCAGAAGACATCAGTACTTATATCACAGATCTCCTTAAATAACATGCCAGGACTGCTGATTCTGAGGGTTAATTATGGTGCCTACTATTATGAAATGATATATCCAAATGCTTCCACCTTTAAAAAACTGCATCTTTTCAAAATGAAATTTTAATTTTTCTGTTTCTGCCTCATGATACACCCTTTGAAAACTTCAGCCAAGTTTAAGCAGTTCACAAATAAGGCTGGGGAAAAGACACTGATTAGTCCATACTTAAAAGTTTGCACATCCTTTCCTTAAACAGATCTTCTACTGTTTATATTTTGGGGCATGCTGCCATCCCCTCAGAATAAAGGAATATGCTCCATGTGCACTTCTCAGTCTCCATTAGGAGCAGAAGCTCTACCGAACTCAAAAGGATCAGATTCTATCCCTCAGAGCTTTACAGTCAGTTGAGGCAAAAATAAGCATATTTTGAGATGGGATTGAGTTATTATTTATCTGGGTTTTCTTTATTTTTCTGAACAGTGGCAGGAAAAACTTAATGCCAGGAACCCATAGTTAGCACTGAAGGTAATGAAAATCCATATAAATATTAACTTTCCCTGAAAAAAACCCAAAACAAAACCAGGCACCCATTACTGATTGATCCCCTCCTTTTTAACTTCTTTGTCTGTCTGTAACTCACCTACCCACCTGTTCAATGGGAATGCTGTTATCTGCAAAAGCTGAAATTATATACATTTGTAAATGTACATATTTATATATATATATTAAAATTATATATATTTGTGGAATCCTCATATTATACTAACAAGTACTACAGAAAAATCTTTTCCAAAAAATTGCTTTCTGGTCTGATACTGAAAAATGAAAAGCAAATGAGGGACCATACATTGAATAACAAAGAGAAAACAAGACATTCAATATGTAGTAACAGATGACCACCCATCCATTCTAGGAAAAAAATATTACAAGAACTGTAATTAAAGATTGTTCTATCGTATACTGGGTACAAGGAAGAGAGGTTGCATATGAAAATATCTTTGAACTAAATAAAAAAGTTAAGAACTTAAAGTAAAACTGAAATTTGTTAAGTTTCACTTTATTTTCTTTTTCTTGGATATTACATTAATGTCTGATTTCATTTCAATTCATCTGATTAGAAGCTGAGTGGAAAAAATGTACAATACAACCTTGTGACAGGAAAGAATTTACAGTAAGAATCAAAAACACCTGAGACAGAAGAGGCTAGAAAGTGCTTAGAAAGCAAAAGACAAACACACTCAACATATTTTTCAACAGATTCTCACTGTTATTCACATATAAGTATCTATAAAATTAAACACATGAATAGAAAGAAGTTCAACAAATGTTGCATGAGCTAGTCCTTTAACAAAAGGATGAAATTAATTCTTGTTCCGCTCAAAGAGCATGTTCCTGAAGATATTCTTTACAAAATATATGCAGTATTAACATAAAGTCTCTGAAACAACAGTTATAAGAACAAAATGAAATCACAGTCCAAAGAAAGCTAGCTGGTTACCAAATTTAAAAATCTAGTTTCCTTAAAAAAACTTTTAGCCTGCAGACCAGCAAAAGCTTCTGGAAAAAGGCAGTTGGGGTACACGGGACAAATCAGTAACAAATGGGGGTTACCCTACATCGTGTGTGAAAGACTTAGGGACATTAACTTGAGGAAAGAAGTGCTGTAGGTAAGACAAGGGAGAAAGATGGAGATCCTACGGTCCTTCAGAGTGATTTAAAGTGGGAAATAGAGAAATGTTGACAAGAGGCCATTTGGGAGTGTGTAAGGCTGTTGAAGCTTTTTGTATCAGATGGGACATCAGCCAACTCTGTAAATAAACAGACTGTAATAGCTTTGTTGCTCAATGAACTGGCTGGATCTAAAAATGGGGTTTTTGGACTAACAATGCTTTTGGATCTGTACTAAAGATTCTGCCAGTTCATCAGAACTGATCTTCCAAGTTTTCAACCTAAATATTACCCGAACATTATAACTTCTATTCTTCCTGTCACTCCCTCTCCCACAAATACCAGATTGTTCAGC